AGATCTCTGACCGATCAGCAAGCGAGATGAAATCCGTGCCTCAAAAAAAAAAATTCTTGATAGTTAGACACTATCATTGATCTGAAAATGATCGTCTCTCCACAGAATAATTATAAAGTCATCCAAGTCATACGGAAACACTGCTGTAGAAGATAAGATTAAATAAACGATTTATATCATTCCGTCTATTCCGTCACAACCGCAGACGCGTGTCCCACGTGAACCCCTGGATTGGCTTGCAGCCGAACCTGCTCGGACTTTTTTCTGTGATACTCCTTTATCTCATCGTGCACAAGCTCGTAAAAATTCGGAATCGGTATTCGAATAATTCCCGACCGTGATTTCGCTGAATCATTAGGTGACTTTTCGCTCTTCAAGCAAGTTCCTCTCGGTGTTCCATCGTTTTGCTTTCCCAACTCATGAGTTTTGAGTTGGCATTGGCTGCTACATATGTATGTACCGAAAATCTCTATATATAAAAATCTCCGCAGGGTTTCTATGTTACCTATGCTCGCCAAAACTGCTGAACGGATTTTCATCAAACTTGACAACATTAACCATACCCATTGCGGGATGGTTTGTATGCGGTCAAAACCCTATTTCTGATTCCCCAAACCCCCCAAGTTTGCCTCTTGCCTCAGTCGGCTCAACATCGTCGTCTTTTTTTGCGTTTTTCAAGCGGTACAATCCGCTCGGTGAGGGGTAGCGAGCAACCTTACACGACCGAACGGGTCGTAACGGGAGTTCGATCGCCCTCTTCGTTTCCTCGTCCCCGTGAAGTCTCAAGGGTCGGAATCAAGATCGGGGACATCGGGGGCCAACTCCATACGGTCAGAACGGGAGTCTTATCGCTCTCGCGGTCATCGTGCCCGTCCAGGCTTGAGAGTCAGGGAATCGAGAACGGGTGCCGTCCGTGCGTGCTCTTTCTTCGGTTTCCATCGAAGATATTGAGCATTGAGAATTGAGGCCAAGGATGCACCGCGTTTTGTCTCTTGAAACTTGAAACCCGCTCAGCTCAGACTGCGGAGCAGCAGACTTTAAGCCTGGCATACAGAGACTGAGTGATCCGCGATGAGGGCGAAGGGCTCACGGACAATCGAATCGCTCTGCGTTGCGTTCGATTTTGATCCCAAGCACCTTTTTTTCATATTGTCAACTCTCTGTTGTCGATGTCGGTGATATGAGCATCATATGTTCATCCTGTCGTGAGTTGTGAATCGAAAATGAATCCTGGGGAGCATGCGGCGCAGGTTAGAAATCGTGATGATTCTGTGTGGGAAATTTGAGGGCGGGATTCCCGATCATACCGACCGACAAAGTTCGGGTTCTAACGGCTGCGATTTGCCGTGCTTCCCGTTCGTGTCAATAAGGCACAAGGTCAATCATTGCAGGCATGCGGCCTGATCATCGAGAATCCATGCTCATATCGCACGGATGACTATTGTGTCGGTGAATCATCGAATTCGTTTGTTGTGTGCGCACCGGATAGTGAGACAAAAGACTCCGTTTATCTTTGAATGATCAGTTGAAGATTTATACGAGCATCTTCTGTTCATGGTTGGAAATAAATCATCGGGATACCTGATGTGAAGGTGGATGAGTGCGATGTGTTATGTTTCGGTATGGAATTCTGATGATGTCCGAAGTTCGGACTTCAGAACAATGCTTTCGGCACAAACCGGATGGTGAGACCAAAGGTGTGTGTGTGGTGCCCGTTAGGCTTGAGAGTCAGAGAGTCGGGAACGGGGGCCAAATTCTTACCGTCGAAAAGGGAGTCTTATCGCTCTCGCGGTTATCGTGCCCGTGCAGGCTCGAGAGTCCGGGAATCAAGATCGGATTTATACGAGCATCATATATGTTCATGTTTGGAGATGAATCCTCGAGGCATATGATGCGCAGGTGGGTAAAACTGATTTTTCGATGTCCGATTCAGATAATGCGTGAACTTCGGACAAAATAGCAGAAAACGAGCTATCGAAAGCACCGCAGATATCATGGATTATGGCACATGTCCGAGAAGGAAACGAGCATCGGAGATCGACGGAGACCATAATACTGTAAATCTCCTAATAGTGACCGGGTCTTCCATATCTTCAAATGCTACCGGTTGGGGCTTCTATTGGAGAGTGGCTCACAATATTTTGAGGAAAATTTCGCGTCGGAAAAACTGATCAGTGATTATGGAAGTCTGGGGGAATGTGTGTTCTCAATATAGAACTTGGCAATCAATGCACGTTAGCGACCGTCCCGGAAGGACTCCTTCAGGCGAAGATACTTGGGCGCCGATGTTCCGACGTCGGGCCAGCAGCTTCGCCTCTTAGCCGATTTTGAAATCCGGGAGCTTCTTCTGGAGGGGAGCTTTCGTTTTCTCAGAAGCTCTGACAGGGTGGCTCCTATTGGAAGGCTTCTACTATGGAAGAGGGCTGCTCTCGGGGAATTCACGGTAAAATGCTTTGGGCCGCAGCGAAGCGCGGCAGGGTACGCTAGTATTCCAATACAAGCCCGGACTTCTATTATCTCAAACCCGTTCGCAGGGATGCTTCTATTGGAGATGGGCTTCTATTGAATAGGGGCGTTCATCACTCATCACAGGAGAGCTTCTCATGATCCTATGCGCGGCTGTACAACGACGGTGATTGGGAAGAAGAGACTTCAGAAAGCTGGACTTCTCGTGACTTATGAGACCCGAGGTTTGTTCTAAAGCAGAGCGTCTCGGAAATCTGATTTGATTACCCTTGAGGGGCCCCTGTCCGAGACGGGCCACGAGAATCCCGCCGCGGGTCCTTCTTGGAGAGGGGCGTGTACTGGAATATTCACGGTACGTGAAAACTGTGGGAGACCGTGGAACTGTATGGGGAACACGCATGGTTATGATAGGTGCCATTTTAGACCTCGTGGATGGGCGATATGTCTTGTCCTAGGAGCCGAAGTAATTCTCAACGTGACCAAGTGACTTTCAAAGGTGAAGCTTCGGCCGACGACTAACAACCGAATGAATGCGACTCCTCGTGAGATTCGATCCTTGATGATTATCACGGAAACATGCTCCTCGATGAGCTGGGAATGGGGCTCACTACACGCCTTTCTCAGCAGGGGCACACAACGCCTCCCTCAATAGGCTCAAGATATTTCCGAAGCAATGAATCACCAGAATCTCCCATCGAGTCCGCAGGAAGTCCCTAAGAAAACATCAGCTCGACCAGCTCCAGGGTCTCGATTGAAGGTCATCAATCGACGGGGAAATTTTTGACCCGGAAAAGCAGCGAACGGAAAGACTGAAGTTGGCCCGACCACACTCCACGGCATCTAAATGGTACCTTCCCGGCTGCCCGATTCCCTGGTGCCCGATTCGGAGATGCCCGATCCCGTGAGGCTACGATGGGGGAAGAAACGGGCAAACATGACCATGAGGCGACCTAAACCTTACCGGAATCGGGCGGTACACGTAAAAGGGTCCGAATCCCTCTAAGTAATCGACGTGGAAAAATCAATGCAGTAAGATCGCTCAGGTTCCCGCGGCAGAGTGCGGGAGGAAACGCTGCTTCCGTGTGCATTTGATGCACAAGCACCGTCAGCGCTGCATCAATCGAGACGTGATCAAAACGATCAAAGAGATCGCCTTCGGATTCCATCGCAAAAAAATCGATTCCCGCAGTAGGGAGATTCGTGGATCTGGCCTTGATTCTGAGAATGGATGGCTCCAGGGATAATCCACTCGGCTTCGGCGCTGTGAGTTCGCTTGAGCAACTGTTGTTTGTGGGAATAGCAGTAAAGGGGCGTCCGCGACGGTTCCTTCCGTGTCAATCAGGGAGAGAGCTCAGGTGCATTGGCGACAAGTCTCTCCAGCATCGTCTTGCCATCAACCTGATCATTGTAAGACGGGCTGTGGAAATCGACGGCTCGCCCTCGAGTATCGGAACATTCATCGATTTCAGCATGCGGACATAGTTTGTACGATGGGTACTAAGAATGGTGCCCGTTGTTTACATAGTGATTCATCGGCGCTTGAGATGAAGACTGAAGCTCAGTCTCCCTCGGCGATGGTATTTTCCGGGCCTGACCAAACAGCCGGATTTCATTGTCTCGGGCATGAACAATCTCTAAAATGTGCCTTCCCCTCTCATCATAAAAGCGATACTTTTGCCTTGGATACGCGTGATCAGAGATCGAAGCGCTTATTAACGAAGGATTTCCGGTCGCCGTCGCGGGACTCGCAATCACATAAATTGACATTAATTCACATAAATTGACGGATCTGGACCTCGAGGGCCTCGAGGTGCGAGAGGTTCGCTGAATACTTTCGTTGGGCCTTCGCCGATGTCCCGAATGTGCGTATGCATTCAGTGACCCAGGCATCGATTCTTCGACATTCGTTGATCAGGCAAGCCTTCGACGCACCGTGTCAGCATTTGCCTCCTCTCTTCGTAGGACTTCACATGTATAACGTCGTCCACGTCGACGTCAAAGGGTGAGGGAATGTCCCTGGAGAGTTTCTCCGGCGGAGGATTCCGCCAAGGCTTGGATTCGGGAGCTCTGTGGAACTCAGAGTGTCCAGAGGGCCAGACAACTCGACTGAATCCCTCGCAGGACTCCTGTGTGAACTCATAACTTGCAGTGATTTGTTCATTCCCTCAAGATAAGTTCGAAGCGCCCTCTCATTCGCCGAGGCACGGGTGATGTCTCGATGACTTTACATAATAGTACAGATCGCATCACACAATCTGAGACGCAGACTAATTCTCGCAGACGTTCCACTCGGATTCCCGAGTGGCGAGTCGTGACGTCGCCGCCTTTCTCGAAAACATGCCTACCCAGGCAATTCCCTCTATCGCGGGCTTACCCGGCCATTCACGCAGCATGTATACAATACATTCACAGCATCTTCTATCTCCTCCATCGCGTATCGCGTAATCAATACTGTCAATACCGCATCCCGATTCGGAGCAGACGAACTTCTGCTGGTGGCTCCCTCTATGCGTCCTTGCCCGGCGACCACAACACCTCAAATTATCGAGAGAAAGTTATGGGACATTCTAGTGCTTCTTTTCCTTCCTTTCACTCCGCCGAATAAATCTTCAAAGACGGTGAGTTTTCCGATGAGATCACGGAATTCAGGAGCCATTCCTGACTCAGTGCGCGCGCCGAGGAGGCGAGGAGCGAAGGTGTTCGATTTCACCGATTCTCCTGCAGAGAATCTTTCGCGCATTTTGTTGTGGCTACCGCTGCTGACACTGCTGACTTCGACTGCTCTCAGCTGGGACGTGGCTCATTGGAGGTTCATCTCGGCTTCGAGAAACGGGGTTTTCGATCTGTTCGCTGACACCCGTCATACATGCCTGGTTGATAGTTCTACATATGCTCGATACTTGGTGTGTCCGAGGAATCATGCGTTATCCTACGAAACCCCAATCCTATAAATTAAAGACTCATGATCACTTGGCTTCCCGTGGGTAAATTGTTCGAGGGAACTCAATGTTGAGTTTCATGATCCTAGAAGAAGGCGAGAGAATGGAAACTCGAATTGGGGAAACTCGTGGAGAAAAACAAATAAATAACGGGCTCATCGAACCTTGATGAAGCGAGGAATTCTCTTCCTTTCGCGACCAATGAGCGGCGTTACGATTCGTGAACTGAAACGAGTGAAGCAGTGATACACATTACAAGAGCCTTGACCTGTGAGACGTCGATGCGAGGTCAAAGCGTTGGCAACATCTCCCGATTGAATCGTCGCTGAGTGTTCTCTTCTCACCGTATCGGGAATCTCTCTGAGAGGGAACAATGGATGAACTAAGACCGATGCGAGGAATATTCCCATCAGGATTCCTGGAGGATCGGGATACCTTCCTATCGTCGCTCCATAAGGTTCTTCTCGATGAGGCTCTTCCCATCCCAATATGAGTTGGATGATATCCTGGATGATATCGTGCTACCCATCCATTCAAATCTCGGTAGAATCGAGCGTTTGGGTCCGAGTATTGTTCTAACGAACGCTCAAATCGACAGGATATTCAAGTCATGAGACCAACTCACACTCTAAATTTGGATTGACAGCTCCGCCTGTATGCTCACGAATTAGGGGGAGGAACCTCCGAGTCGGTCAGAGATCATATCTCCGAAATTTCACCGAATCGTCTCTTTCTTCAAGTTCCGGCGCGGCCTTTGATCCAACGAAGGTCACCGACAGCGCATTCACCTACCTCGTTCATCGGATGCATTTCTTTACGTTCGATTACACCACAGACTATGATTTTCCGACAACTACTGATCAATGGATGAAATAGACACTGTCTTATGCAGAAAATCTCGATCTGTCCTCGTCTCTTTCATGACGGTGAGATGGGATACAGACATTTTCATCGATACGAGTCCTTGGGGGAAGTCCTGCGTCGAACTTTGAACAATACTACGGAAATGAGAAAGCTCCCGGCCAGGTTTCACGTATTTCAGTCTAGTTTGTAATGGAGATTTCCCGAGCAGAAGAAGCGAGGCCGTCCTGGGATTTCTTTGCCCTTCCATGTAGCGGTCGGTCCAGCGAAGACCGTCGGTCTATCCGGAACGTTCTCGTGGCATTCCTCGATGGGGGCCGAACAATCACCTTCAAAACCGCAGGGTGTTCCAGTGAAATCTGGTTTCATACTCCTCTCTCAGAGATAAGAGATAACTAATGAGAAAGTAAAGGAAAAAAAAGTTTTCGCTTTTCTGTTGTTCCGAAGCCATTCTCTGCCGGTCGTCAGTCCGCCAGCAAGCCAGACAGCCAGTCATTCAGTCAGTCAGTCAGTCTGTCACTCTGTTCGGAAGCCGAAGCAGGTTTTGCCTTTGATATAAATTCGCCCTTGCCATCTTCCCGTCCACTTGTGCGAACGCAGCCAAACGTCATTTCTCTGATAGCCGCCAGCAAGGTAGGCCTTCCGTCGCTGGTTGACGTGTATCTTTTTTCTGCGGTTCCGTCGAGCCATATGGTGCGAGACAGTCTGCACGATCGGATTTCGCGACTTCCGGTAGACTCATGGGCTCTCATGTTTCCACTCCGAATCTTTGTGGGGAAGTTCCTCCCGTCTGATAGAATCTGAGGATCCGCGCTATTCTAACGATTTTTTTTTTCTCTTGATCCGTGCGATATTCCAGGAGCTGCAGACGAAAACAATCATGTCGTGTCCCTTCGTGAGTCGCCTCTCGTCCGCATTCGTTAGAAACTATGCAACGAATCTGGTGAATATGTATCAACGACAATGTCCTTTCTTGGCCCGGAACATGGCAAGTGTCACCCCGATTTCATGCAGCCAACAAGTCAACTTGGAATCGCCGTCATCTTGTCCCGTTGACGTGGACAGTCGCTGCAGCCGTTGCCCGTTTCTGGCCGAGAACAGATCCGCAATCAAGTCCCTCTCGGCCGAAAGCATCGAGTTCGCGGAGCCTCCGTCGAAATGTAGAAAGCCGGATTTCGGCTATGAAACCCACTTCAAATCGATGATCGCAAGGAAGAAGATGGATCACTCGTACCGAGTGTTCAAGAGAGTCAATCGACTCGCCGCTGCTTTCCCTACGGCGACGGAACACAGCCCCGCTGAACCCAGCAAATCCATTACTGTTTGGTGCTCGAACGATTATCTAGGAATGTCACGCCACCCGAAAGTCACAGAGGCTGTCAGGAGAGCCCTCGAGAAACATGGAGCCGGCGCCGGAGGGACCCGGAACATCTCTGGAAACTCCCTGATGCACGAAAACCTCGAATCGGACTTGGCCAAGCTCCATCGGAAAGAGGCCGCGCTGCTGTTCACGTCGTGCTTCGTCGCAAACGATACCACCTTGTTCACGCTGGGGAAACTCATACCAGATGTTCATATATTCTCCGATGCCGGCAATCACGCGTCCATGATTCATGGCATCAGAAACTGTGGTGCGCCCAAGCACATATTTCGCCATAACGACGTCGAGCATTTGCGTGAGCTACTCCAGCAGGTTCCCAAATCCACGCCCAAAATTGTTGCGTTTGAAAGTGTACATTCGATGACGGGTGATATATCGCCAATGGAACAAATCTGCGACGTCGCTCACGACTTCGGAGCGATTACATTCGTTGACGAAGTTCATGCCGTGGGCTTGTACGGTCAGTACGGCGCCGGCATCGGTGAGCAAAGGAGCATACTGCACAAGATGGACGTAGTTTCTGGGACGTTGGGTAAAGCCTTCGGGAACATCGGGGGTTACGTCGCGTCGACGGCGAACTTCGTCGATTTTATTCGGTCTTATGGGGCTGGATTTATATTTACAACTTCGCTCCCTCCAACGGTTTTGTGTGGCGCGAGAGCTTCCATCGCAGTGCTGGCTTCGGACGAAGGTCGGGCGCTCCGGGCCCGCCATCAGCAAATTGTTCGATACTGCCGCTCGAGGTTGAGAACAGCCGGACTTCCTGCGCTCGATTCTGAGTCGCATATAATTCCCGTCCATGTTGGAGACCCTGAGAAATGCACGCGAATCAGCAACGAACTCATGAGATTAGGACACTACGTTCAAGCAATTAATTACCCGACGGTCGCTCGTGGTGAGGAGCGACTTCGTTTGGCCCCGACGCCTTTCCACACCGAATCGATGGTCGACCGTTTTGTTGGCGATTTGGGACGGGCTTGGAACCTAGCTGCTCTGGAGGCTTCGTATAGTACGGCCGCCGAGAAATGCCAATAAAGATCGTTTCGACTCCTGGTTGTGGAAATTCAGATTGTCTTATTCGTATCAGACAACCATTGAACAGGCTGTACAACGCCTGTTACGCAATATTTCGTAGCCTATTCCTGGCGGAAGCCACGGCCGAAGGGTTCCGTTCGAGGATGAGTGAAGAAATGAAACTTCAGCCCTAAAGTCCCGGAAGGAGGTACCTTCGAGCCAGACGGACACCGGAACTTTCATTCCGACGGACGGGGACAGTTCTGATTATGAGACGAAATGCTGGTACCTTCGAGGAACTTTCGAGGTGCAGAGCCATAAGTCTCTCCTGAGAAGTTTATGATCCGGTAAGTGCCTCCAAACAGGATTTCCAGGACGAGGCATGTACATGATGACCATGGAGGCACAGGTGACACCTCTTGGCCATGCTCGAACGATCCGATTCCAGCTGCGGCTAATTCAGAGAGGAGTGTCGGCGTCGGGAGGTTTAGCTGCGAGCTCTCGCTGACTGTTCAGTCGCCGACGCCATCGATGGACCAATCTGATGTATTCGAGCCTCGTATTCCGAATATCATGCATCATTCACTGTGAAACAGTTCCTGGATAGGCGGGCAGACCAACCGCAGTAGCTTTCGGACATCTCCTATCAAGGAGGGACCGAGCTGGAGGAAGGGAATCGAGGATGTTGGGCTGTATTCCTCTAGAGCAGCGGTTCCCAACCTGGGAGCCGCGGCTCCTAGGGGAGCCGCCGAACCTGGTAGCCGCGGCTCCCCTAGGAGCCGCGAGGCTTTTCTGGGGGACCCGCGGACGAATTTCTGGTGTTGGTCCGGGCCGTCAGGGTTTGTCAATTCCAAGGGAAGGATCGACGGTTGTGTTCCCGCCATTCCGTTCAACTCTATCGAGGAGTGAACGAAGCTAAAATAAAATCTCACTCGCTTTCACACCACTGCACGGAGCACCTTTTGTTTCCTTGTGTCTCTCCCGCAGAGAACACTTCATCCACCACTAAGCTTTTTCCCGTGAGCTTCGAGAAGCTCAACTCTTCTCTTCCGTCGAGAGAGATTGGACTCATTTGTTAGAGAGCTCTGGTATGCCCGCGAGGCTACCTTTTCCAGCCAGGAGCTGCTTGTCTCCGGAGATTCCCACTCAGTCTTTTTAACGGGGAATTGACGGGAGGGAGGCGGAATATTTGTGAACAATATATGTACATGCAAGTTATGAGTGCCGGAATTGAGCTGCGAATGGTCATTTTAGGGGAAAAAGAAGGGAGAGCAGGTAGGAGCCGCGGGAGCCGCGTGGGCACTGGGTATCCTGGGAGCCGCGGGAGCCGCGTGGGCACCGGGATCCTGGGAGCCGCGGGGGAATTCTGGGTTCGCTAGGGAGCCGCGGAGCCAAAAAGGTTGGGAACCGCTGCTCTAGAGGCAAGATCTAGGCTCCTCCGTCGGCGATCGCTCCGCGCAGATGAGGAAAACGATTCAGGTAAGAGTCACTATGTAGATGCATGGGGAAATAAATGAACGGCGCGAACTCAGCTCGCGGCCCTCTGAACTCGTACCTTGGGGTTCCGACGACTGCGCAGTTCATCACTGTGAGCATTACCGGGTAGTCTTAAATTTCGACGAAATCGTGTGCCCTCGCTCGAGCATTTTGAGCGGGAACGAAACCCGCGCGCGGACCCTTCGAGTGAATCGCTGTCTATTCCGAAGGGTATACCTCCGCCGTCGGAGCGCTCGTGACGCTCGTCTAACCGGCAATGATGGATCCCCTCATCTAGTTCGAATGAGTGCGGAGGAAATTTGCATCGATTTTTAAACGAAGAACATCGGTCGAAGCGAATTCCCGGGAGTAGCGAATTTACATCGATCAAGCATCCCGTAGGAGAACGCGGAAGACAACTTGCAAGATTTTCAGCGGGAGTCGTCCGATAGCCTTGAAGAATGTATCGAACTTTAATTTCGCTCGTCCACATCGGAGTACGAGATAAGTGTCGGGGTTGAATCAGCGTGGAATCCCTCACTCAGAATGGAGAGGGATTTCAGTGGCGCCTCCTAGCGTGGATGTTGGAGGAGCCAGAGCGCACGTGAAAACTCCTGAACAGAGAGCGGTGAAGCCACTGAGGATGCGGTATGTGGGCCCAACTGATATTTCTCTTCGCAACGTTGTGCGTTCTACACCCGGCTTACTGTGAGTACCGAACTATACTTTCAGGTGGCGGAACTCATAGAGAAATTATTCCCCGCGGTGTCAAGCGCTTTGTCAAGGCATCAACTCTGCAATTTTCTGATGAATCGAGTTTTTCGACCGGATCCTTCTCGAAAAGTGGCCATTCTCACCGATAGCGAAACTTCAAAATGCCGCCTCTGAAAGCCCTGAGACAAGTGCCGCCCTGGGCGCCCGCTCTCTTCCACCTCACGGAGTTATTCCGTTTTTCGATACGGAGTGCCGGGAAACTCACCACGCGGAACGACGACCGTCCATGGAACTCGAATGTTGTCGCGGAGCTGATATCCGAGAAACACATGCAAGGGTGAATCGAAAATCACTGCTCATGAGCGAACGCCCAGCTCGCTCCAGATGAGGTCAATGAGCGCGTACATTCCCGGAAGTTATCGGATGACTACAAGCAGCCCCTCGGAGACTTATCTCCACGAAACAGGCTGGAGCGAAGCGCTACGACGAAAGCGCAGAGCATCAATGACGCTTGACGTTGTTTACCACTGTTGAAGGCTTTCCTTCCGGTTGTCGACTACGATTGAACGTCGAAAGCTCGTCGCTGCGATTTTCGCGCTCCCCAGCCCCTGTTTTTCTATCAGACCTGTCTTCACTTAGCAAGCTTCCGGCATGTTCAGAGATCCCCTCGTAAATAAACGTCAAAGATAAATACGAAACAAAAGCTCACCCGCTACGAGCGCGCTGATAAGGAGAGCTTCCAGACGTCCTGAGAGCCGAAAGGCATTGTAGCGGTTTTTCCCCCGTTCGTTCGGCAAGTCTCTTCCGGCGTTGCTCCGGAACAAAAATCGTTGTTCCAAGGGTACGAGGAAAAACACGACGAGACAACGCGGACAAGCTGTATGGTTACTCCAGATTGTTTCCGAGAGTGTTCCGCTTATTCCTCGGCGGACAAGTTGAACGACAGCTTTGCGGTGTTGTTGTTCCATCCGATTCCCTCCTGGCTCGTCACGCTTTCCAGAGGAGTTCTGCTCTGGATTCCCGGGATTGTTAACGGGCTGGCGGGAACGACGCACCGAGGGAGGAGATTTGCAACCCGACTCTCGTCGCTCACTCAAATGTCAACTGCAAGTCGCTGAAAAGGTGATGCAGGATCTACTCTGCAAAACGACGATCTGCGCTTGCGTCTCGACAACAGCTTGCCCGAAGATAACGTTCGGAGCAAACGCGCGTCGTTGCGGTTCGGGACAAAGCAAGGTGAAAGAAGAATGAATCGCAGAGGGGGCTCGCACAAGTGTACTGTGTGTGGCCGTCTCATGCAAATTGAGTGTCTGTCGGAGACAGATCATCACTCGCGGTGCAGCTCTTCGCCTGTTGAAGATGAACGAACGAATGGAACTCACTTTCAACCGGCCGAGTCAGTCGTCCAAGCTTCGAGTTGCAAAACCGATGAAGAGAGTTACTTGGGTTCCTGCTGCCGGTCGGCGCAGTGAGTCGACCGCTAAAAAATTGATCACTTAATGGACTGCTCTGAATGCGAAACCAATTTCTCCCGGAAGCTGCGGGGCTGCCTGCATAGAACCAACGACTTCTGAGGCATTCCTCGAGTCGCCGTCAGAAATTCGATTCGGGCTTGCCCCTACAAGGTAGTGCTTGGAATATCCCCTGGTAGGTTTGAGTCAGAAATGGTGGCCTGAAGTCACCTGGTTTCCGCTCGGTGTGCTCGGTTCTGAGAGAAGGACGAGTTCGAACTCGGCGAAGCCTACGCTCGAGGCATCGTTATCGTGACCACGAAAATACGTCCCGCCTAGTTGAAGCCCGAGACGCATGAAGCGATTTATTTCACTCGCACTTGTCACTCATTGCCATCGTCAGCCTTTCGAGGAGCGTGATGGATTCCGATTAAGTATCGAAGTTAGGGATCCGGGGCTTCAAACAAATATTTCGCCAAAGTTGGCTCGATGAGGATTCGGATCTCGAAGAACTCGTCATTTGGGGCCATCGCCTTGCCTCGTAGCTCGCACCTAGGTTTTCAAATTGATTCCATTCGAAGCAAACTCAGCTATTTGCCTGGATCAGGAGGTAGAGATGGTGCGCAGTGTTGAGCCGCCGTTTCTTCGGGAATCTACAAATTACCTACACATATACCAACCTGGAGATCAACGAATGTAGTCCCGCTTTCTCTGGAAGATCGACTCAAGCTCTGCATCAGGGAACCCGGGAAACGGTGGTAGTGCAAGCAGCTGGAAATCGACCGCCATTTTCCGTCGATGGGAATACGCGAGATGCTTCAAGGAGCAGTTGACATGACCGATATTGTCTGCCTCTCTGCTCCATAGAAGCTTCCATGGAAGACCGGTCACTGATTGCTCCGACTACAAAAATCGCCACTCAATGATCCCATGGACGAAAGATCGGCTTTAAATAATTGACCGGATGACTCCAAAAATTAGAAGAGAAGTTATTGGAAGGCCTCGCCTGGTTCTGCTCGATCACCTTCGGGAATTCCTGATGTTCCCGGCTATGGATCATCGCGATTCGAGCTGCTTTGGAGCTAAGTCTAACCGCGCGGCGCCAGAGGGCTTATATCTATGCGCCGGAAATCGGAAGGATGACGCCTTGGGATGCCATACCGCAGCCATATTTTGACCGGTTTCTGCTTCATCAACCTGACGTGCACTGAGAACCTAGCGGATTCTCGATTTCATTGGGGGGGGGGGGCTTCCCAATACGCTGGGGACTCTACGAGCGAATATCGCCCCACAGGTTCAAAAGGATAACAGCGATAAATGCTCGTTGAATTGTACATGTGGTGACCTTGAAAATATTGTCCGTGATTAGACCCTCAGTCTAAATGAATTTATCTTATTTGTCATGGGGAGAAATGGCATACCTATGCCACCCCTTCCCCTCCCCTCGAAAATGTGAAACCCACAGTGTCGCTCTGCATTTGCAAAAACAAAAGGAGATGAGAACAAAAGGAAAAGGAAGCGAGACTTGAATTGCACGACACGTGAATAATTATCCTTGTACCTTGCACAAATCGAGGTGGCAGGGCATTCACAGAGCTTCCGCTCCGCCGAGCTCCTCCGTATTTTCTCGAGAGTCGCTCATGTTCCATGACTACAGGATGCGGATGCACGTTCGATACAAGTGACAGCGCGCTGCCAAAAAGCCACGTCATTGATTCGGAAAGCCTCGGGGGAATTTATCACGTCGTTTAGAGCAGACTTTTCGCGAAATGTGAGCGAATGGACTGTGAAACTCTTTGTGCTTCCGGCGTTAGTTCTCTCCCGCTTGGAAACAATCGTAGAAATTTCTCTTCTACGACCCGGCTGGGCGAGCGGGCGAGAGTTCGCTCAGTGTCTGAGCAGACGGGCAGGCCGTTGTCGAATTCTTTGACTGGTCCCCTGCCACAGCTGCGGCCTCGAGGAAAACTTAATTTGGCCGTAGGGAAAGAAGGGACGTGGAGGAAGAGGGAAAACCTCAAGGATCAATGCTGTTCGGAATGAACGGATCCTTTACACCCCAAGCAGTCGTTGTAAAAAAACTTCTGCTGGCCGCAGCTTGCGACGACCAAGCTCCAGGGGAAGGGATGACCATTCGTTCGTTCGTTCGTCCGTTCGTTTATCGGTCTGTTCATCCTTTCCTGAGAACGAAATTGCAGTGCAGGCAGCTTACGGAAGGCCATCCGGTCTCCACATTCCGAAGTTGTCCCGTCCTTGCACATTGGGCTTTTCTTGTCCCAGAAGACACCTGCGTTCTTGGTAATCCACTGTGGAGGCCTCCGGCCGGCGGCGGCGGCAAAAGGGGGAAAACGCGACCAGTCGGAGGAATGAGGACGGAATGCATTCTTAGATGAAACACTACAGAGATGGGAAAGGATTTGCTCAGCCGTTTTTTCCGTCGCGTGAGATGAGGACGGACGGCAAGCTTTGTCCATGAGCGACGTTCTCTGCCTGCTCGTTGGAGCGCTTCTCCCTCTTCGTCATGGGGAGCTCCATTTACTTCGCGCCTGCCCCTTCTCCGCGTCCCCTTCACCTGCTCGACGGAAGCGTCAGTGGACGGTGACGTGAGCTCTACTCCTCACTTTCCCTTCGATGCCCAGGTTGCTGATTCAGGAGGGCTCCTGCTGGAACTCATCGACTGTACTCACTTGGGGAGACTTCCTGCCAGTTCGGTGCCGCAAGCGAATCTTGCACCCAGACGTTTCCACGATGAGGAATTTCTGAAATTCTTCTCGGTCTGGAATCTGTTGATTCTCCCTTCTCTGAGTGTTCAGCCGTGAATTGCTCCGCTTCCGGAACGTTCCCACCGATTTTTTTCCCTATCGTTTTCCGATACTGAACGCGGCCAGAAACGGGTCTCGTAAACATCCCCAGATTCTTCTCGATGTTTCGACGGGTGGAAAGTTGTCGCATTCGAACAACAGGGGGAGGGAGCCTCGTTTGTTCTCCGGACGAACGTTTTTCCGTGCAAGCAAATCCTGCTGGCAAGTGGTCTCAAATCCATGGTTTATGCAAACCGAGAAACAAGATTGAATACCACTCCCTGCATGATAAACGCGCCTTGTAGGACGCTCAGAGACTCTGTCCCGGAATGGCGGGGATTTCCTAGGGGGAGAAAAACGATAAAATCGGGTTCTGCAACGGAACCCCACGAACAAACGCAACAAACTGAACAGTTCGCGCCGTGAACAGAGGCGGGCGACGACAACTGTGTTTTAATAGTCGGCGACAAACCGGTCGCTCTCCCACCCGAAGCCGACGTGGGGGAGATGTGAGAGTTGGTGGGTGGGTGGGTGAGTGAGTGAATGGGCGGGTGGGCAGACAGACGAGTGAACGTTGGTCCGTGCGTGCCTGCGGCCAGGGCCTGTTTGGGGGGCCTCGTTTGCTCGGCTTCAATTATTAAGTTTCCGGCTACGAATGAACGGTCGCCAATAAAACGTTTTTGTTCCATTTCCACGAGCTGTCCGCGAGTCGGCGCAACGGTCCGCCACGATTTCTTTCAATGTT